CAGATGTTCTTAAATAGGAAAAAATGCTCCTATAAATAATATTCAGATCAATTACCAAAAACTTCAATTTTTCGGAACAAAAAGTGAATTTTTCCATGTTATAATGTACAGAATATTTTATTATAAAATAATTACATTCAAACAGGTAAAATTTTCATGAATTTTGTTAATATCATTAAGCCAAATACATATTGAAATTATCTGTATACTTACTTTTGTGACGTAAATTTTGCACCTATTTAACTACACCTTAAATGAGAACTTAAGTAACCAAAATAACCCGGAAAAAAGTAGTGAATAATAATTATCATAATTGTTTTTAATAAATAAATGTGTTACTTTTTTGATTTTTGAAAAAATAATATCCTTTTTTAAATAAAACCAATTGTCAGTATTTCTGTATACTTATTTTTGAGATTAACTGTATATATATATTAGGCTTCACGCAATATTTTTGAAATTGTGATATCATACCTTTTATGACAGTTTTTGGAACAGCGCTAATATTAGCGTAATTATTTTGTTAAAATTTCAACTCCTTCATCTGCATATCTGCGCCCAAAATACCGATTTTGGGCGACATTTTTTTATAGTCCGAAAACTGCTGTACATATTTCAAATCTGACTTTAGTATACTATTATACAGGAAAATTTAAGATATATAAACTTAATTTGACAGAATTTAGATGCACTATAAATGCATAAGAGCAAAAGAAAAACTGCAATTAAAAAAAAAATCAAAACCTGATTTTATCATTCGTAAATATAATATTCAATGCCCTTAAAAAAATAGTGTTAAAATTTTTAATTTATTGTAATCCCTTTAGGAGTTATGATGGTTATCATGTTGGCTTGTGGTTTAATAATTTCCCATCAAACAATGGTGTTTTTCATCATCATCTCCGAATTTAATAAAACTCCATTCAATTAATGTTCCATATACAGTTAATCTCAAAAATAAGTATACAGAAATACTGACAATTGGTTTTATTTAAAAAAGGATATTATTTTTTCAAAAATCACAAAAGTAACACATTTATTTATTAAAACAATTATGATAATTATTATTCACTACTTTTTTCTTCATATTTTGGTTCTTTGAGTTCTCATTTAAGCTGAAGTTAAGAAGGTGCAAAATTTACGTCACAAAAATAAGTATACAGATAATTTTAATATGTATTTGGCTTAATGATATTAACAAAATTCATGAAAATTTTACCGTTTGAATGTAATTATTTTATAATAAAATATTCTGTACACTATAACATGGAAAAAAATTCACTTTTTGTTCCGAAAAATTAAAATTTTTGGTAATTGATCTGAATATTATTTATAGGAGCATTTTTTCCTATTTAAGAACATCTGACTATTTAAATCCCCGGAGTTTTGGATCGGGTATTCAATAATAACCCTCGTTTGTTCATTATGATGCATTGGAAGACGATATTTTAACTTTTAAATTAATTGTTTCTGTACAATAATTGCAATCCATTGCGGAACATTGCCGTTTTTAACATAGTATAGCGTTCATATTCGATATTTAACGACGATTTCCTAAAATTTATATCTTAAATTGCGATATTAATAATATTTGTACTAGTATCCATTAATTAAAACAAGTTTTTTGGTTCCAATCATCCATTACACACTTCTAAATACTACCAATAATCGTCAAATGGTGACCATGTCAATAACTTACACTACATATCGGTTCTGAAATTGATTATTCTCCAAAATAGTAAGATTTTTACATTAAATCAGGCTCAATTGGTGGTATGAATACGAATTGAACAATTTTGAACACAGATACATCTTAGTTTGTTGCTAGAACAAATAAAATGTCCGATCCATAAAACATGGTTATTGTATCAAGTATATCAAGATATGATTGGTAGCATTATTGTATGCTTTGGAAATCGGAGTATTTGGAAAACCTGTTTAAATTAAAGGAAATATATAGAATTATCCAAATTTTAAAGATTATGTTGTAAGTCTTAAGAAATCGGAGTTAAATTTCGGTTTTTTAAGAACGTACTGTGTTCAAAATGGCCAAATCCATGCATATAACATTAATTTCGAAATAACAACTCTTTTCAAAAGTTAAAAATTCTATTTCCAAGGCATCATTTGGAGGGTTCAATGACCACCAGATCCAAAATCCGGGGTCTAAAGTGGAAAAAAATCGCAGAAGTGGGAAAAAAACTGTCCTACTAATTAATTCCGGAGCCAAGTAGATTTTTTCCAAGTTATTGTGTAAAAAATATTTTAAAATGTGTAAAAAATATTTTATTTATTATTACAAGTAAAATTTCCATAAATTTTGTCAATATAATTAAACCAAATATATACTGAAATTATCTGTATACTTACTTTTGTGACGTAAATTTTCAGCTTAAATGAGAACTCAAAGAACCAAAATATGAAGAAAAAAAGTAGTGAATAATAATTATCATAATTGTTTTTAATAAATAAATGTGTTACTTTTTTGATTTTTGAAAAAATAATATCCTTTTTTAAATAAAACCAATTGTCAGTATTTCTGTATACTTATTTTTGAGATTAACTGTATAACTTGTATAATGACAAATTATGGGTCTTATAACTTTCGTGGTTTTCGAAATATAGCGTTGTAAAGTTTAAAATCTGAAAATTTTAAGTCTCATCACATCTAAAGGGTTAATGATAAAATTTTTGTTTTTGCACCATTTGTCTCAGCAAAAAGCATACTAACAAAATTTTTTGAAATATTTTTTGAAAAAAGTGCATCTTTGGATAATACTAAATGCACTTTTGAAGCATTATAAAAGTGTGAAATTAAGCTCATTCTTATTGATTTTTCCTATAAAATCAATTATTAATTGGAAGGAGTTGGAATTTTGAAAAAATTATGACAGCATACTAATTACTGATACAAAAACGGGAAACATTTTATTTTTTGAAACGAAGCCATATATATATAGTATATATATATATATATATAGTTATATATATATATATATATATATATATATATATATATATATATATATATATATATATATATATATATATATATATATATATATATATATATAGTTATATATATATATATATATATATATATATATATATATATATATATATATATATATATATATATATATATATATATATATATATAACTAATTTTTGGAAAATGTATAGAAAACATTACTCTAAAAGCATAGTCCAAATTTCAAGCCGATACGATATATAGATCTCGAGATATATCACTTCAAAAATGAAAAACATACCCGGTTATGTGGGTATTGACATAACGGTTAACTCAAGAATGTTTTTTTTTCCAATATTTGGCACTTACCTAATGTTCCCCTATTTTCTGACTCCGGAAATTCTTGACCGATATAGCTAAAAATTTGTGTCCGGCCTTCTATCCAACAGTACTAACCTTGGTGCAAATTTCATCCAAGACATCGATTTTTAAAGTTGGGTTACTTGACACGAAATTCCCCATATGTATATAATCCATCTTTAAAAGAGTTCTGGGACAAAATAATTATAATTAGAAAACGTACATTCATAAATAATTGAATATTTTAATACATACTATAATTTCATGGAAGGAAATTTATTTAATTCTTAATTAATATTAATTTTTAAAAATTATTTTAAACCTGTTCCAAGTTACTTCGTTACTAATGTCTGTTAAATTGATGTAGTGGTATTATTATTAATTCTAAGGTTTGCATTTCGATTTATCTGTTTCCACGGGTTCTAGATCTACTAAATTTAGAATAAATTCATATTTTTTCGGTAAGGCCTTTACATAAAAAAATTACTATTGTTAAATTAATATTACTCGTAAACCATAAATCCGATCAAAGAAAAATGAAATTTTGTTTTCTCAAAATATCATCCGTAAAATAAAAATTTCCAAAAACGATGTTGTACTGATGTTTTTCCCACCACGGAGTGTTGGTTGGTTATCGTGGTAGTTTACTGCGCGCAAACAGTTACCAAAATTTACCAAAAAATCGACGGTATTATTGAACAAAATAATTTAAGATCTTTCAAGACACTTCTAGAAATAAATTTTCGAGTATTGATCACTTAAAATTTTATTTTTCGGTTTAAAAGCATGGTTGTATCATGGTATAAAAATATTTGCTAGTTTTTTATTCCTTACACTTTTAATCGGAACTGGTTCTATATCTACTGAATTTAGAACAAATTATAATTTCTAGTTTGGAAAATAATTTTCTTAGTGCTGTTTTACGAGATATACTTGTTTTTTCTTTAATTTGGTGCTTTTTTGAAATTTTAACGTTATGCAGTTCTCTGTGATTATTGCTAATTGTACACAAAGTTCATAGCCCGGGAAAGTAAGAGTTTTGCTGCTGAATTTTAGATTGCTGAAAGTAAATTGGCACGTATGTATTGGCGGTCTAAGGCCATACAAATCTGTTTTTTACGAATAGCTCACTTATTGTGTGCCGTACGTGTTTTGATGGTATATATTATAATTTCTATAGAGAGAGTTGTTTTCGAGCTGTAGTGTATTATTTTATTCATTGCACTGATATTTTCAAATATTAATATTTTTAACGCCTATATGACTAATTATTTGATTTAAATCTCGGAACCAATTTTAGAAGATCCAATAAACTTCGTTAAATGCGGAAGGCATTTAGAATAAGTTTAATATACTTTTTTTTAAGATGTCATGAACATGGCTTTAAGGTTAAGGATAAGGATCTGTTGAATGGCTACTGTCTATATGATTATATAAGTTTAAGTTGGAAAACTTTTGCTGTTGTAGTTCTTTAAAGTTAAATATTGACGTATTTGTTTAAGAGCTTAGATTAAAGCTTAGATTTAAAAATCGTGATTTGTAATCAATTTTTTTATTTAGGTAAAATTTTATATCATATCATATTTGTTTGTTATTTGCAAAATTTGTATTAAATGTAATATTTTTTAAATAATTATAATTCTGATAATCATATTCTTAAATTTTATAGTCTATGAATAATATGACGAAAGACTATGATTACTTGCTTAAAGTATTATTAGTAGGAGATAGTGATGTTGGAAAACATGAAATTTTGTCGGGATTGGAAGATGCATCATCAGAGAGCCCGTTTTGCAGTGGAAATGGTATTATTTAATATTAAAACTGCTTGAATTCTATTTCCATATAATATATATTTATATTAGCATACAAAACAACAACAATTCTTCTGGAAGGAAAAAGAGTAAAACTTCAGTTATGGGATACATCTGGCCAGGGGCGATTTTGTACTATAATTCGGTCTTACTCCAGAGGCGCACAAGGAATAATATTAGTTTACGACATAACTAACAAGTGGAGTTTTGATGGAATTGATAGATGGCTGAAGGAAGTAGAAGAGGTAAATACTATAATGAATATACAAATAGATATGTTACTATTATTTTAATATATGTACATTAGGGATATAACTAATTTGGCGAAAATTTTTTAATACTTCTCAGCAAAAAGTAATTGATGTCATACTTTACAAACGACATATTAATCACATCTAAAAATGCGGTTATATATTTTTTGCTTTTATAAACGAAATATTTCTTTACAAATAAAATCTAGTTAAAAGTTAGGAAAGAGATGTAGAAAACATATTCGAAGTACATCAAATTTTGGTGAAAAACCTATGAAATTTACATAAACATGTCATTGAAAGAATGCGTTTTATTTTTGACATCCAAATATTGTTTTTTTTCTGCTTTTAAAAATAAGATTATTTGTAGTTCAAAGTTGTCCAAAATGAACAACATCCCTCCAATGACACGCTAATGTAAAATTCATAGGTTTTTCACACGAATTTGAAGCACTTCCCAGCAAAAAAATGTTGCAGTAGTGCAAAGTGAATGCATGTTTCATGACTTCTTTAATAACAGTGCCCAGCAAAAAAAGTGTGGAAAAAGATGTAGAATTTTCATCACAACTAAGTAGTAACCCGAAGTGCTTCAAATTCAGGTGAAAAACCTATGAATTTTACATTAGCGTGTCATTGGAGGGATGTTGTTCATTTTTGACAACTTTGAACTACATCTAATCTTATCTTTAGAAGCTGTAAAAATCCGATATTTGTATGTCAAAAATAAACCATATTCTTTCAATGAAACGCTTATGTAAATTTCATTGGTTTTTCATCAAAATTTGAAGTACTTCGAATATGTTGTTTGTAGTGACTTTTCTACATCTCTTTACTCATTTTTAACTGTGTTTTAATTTGTAAGTATATGTTTGGTTTATAAAAGCGAAAAGTATGCAATCGCATTTTTAGATGTGATTAAGATGTCGTTTGTAAAGTATGACATCAATTATTTTTTGCTGGGTGCTAATGCAACTCATTCTAAACGCCTTCCTAAATTCAACCTATTCCGCAGTTAAAAAATTCCTTTAAAACTTCAAAAATTAATTCAGATTGTTAATTTAATCAAAGGAAATTTATGTGTTATTAGAAATATTTTTGATTAATAATATTATTTTATATATTTTCCAATATTTATTATAATATTTTCCTTAAAAATATTTAAAATATCTTCCAAAAATACATACAAAACAAATAGCTTGAACCAATGAAACATCGTTTTCGAATCATCGAATTTGCATTGGTTCGATTATTCGGAATTCTTGCATAAACACATGATCTCCAAAGACACGTAACTTTTTGCTGTGTTGGGTTACTTAATATTATTTATGCTTAATATTATTTAATATTAATTATTTGACATCATTTTAATTATTGTATAGCTTGGACACAAACTATTTATAACAATTTTGTATTAAGCAATTTGATTTCACTTTTTAAACACAACTAATAACAATTATTTAAGCAAAATACGCTAATTTAAAATTTATTTGTTTTATATATTTTTTTTGTAGCATGCTCCTGGTATTCCAAAAGTTCTTGTAGGAAATAGACTTCATTTGGCATTCAAAAGGCAGGTTGCAGCGAAACAAGCAGAACTTTATGCATCTCGAAATAATATGTCTTGCTTCGAAATATCTCCTCTTTGCGATTTTAATATAAGGGAATCATTTTGTGAATTGGCACGAATGGCTCTCCATAGAAACGGAATGGAGAGGATATGGAGGAATAATAAGGGTAAGTAATTAGGAGTAAGCAATTTCTGTAAGTAACTACAAAGCTCTTCACGGAAATGGTTTAAGCTTTCTTTGAGCAAAAAAAAAAAAAAAAAAACATTTTGAAAAAATAGTCGAAACTTAAGTGCCAAATATTGAAAAAAATCTAATTCTTTAGCTAAAAAATTATTTTTTTTGAATGATATCCCAGTCGCATCACATCATGGGACTAAAAAGCCCATAAAGGAAATTCTATAAGCTTTCATCTGATCAAAAAAGGCAGTTTTTTGAAAAAAAAAAAAATTTGAAAAAAACATTTTTTTTTGGAAACAATGAAGAAATGGCTATCTGAACTCCAATGGACCAATAGGTGAAAAGTTACACTCATTTGAATAAAACCCTGTATGACCAAAATGTCCAATTTTGACCCCCACTAAGTCCGGCAGTTCTTCAGCAATAGAAATTTTGTATCTGTACCCAACTTGGTGCAAATTTCATCCAAATCGGAAGACATCGATTTTAAAAGTTGGGCCACTTGACACGAAATTTCCCATTGTATATCTCCATCTTATTATTAAAAGACGTATTTCCATTTTTGTATGGTGAAAAATCTTATTAAAATCCGATGTGAAAAATGAAAGAAGAGTCATTATTTTACAAATCAAAAATTTTTTATAAAAAAATGTTAGTTACGTCATTTTTATATTATGTGCCCGTGTTCTGTAACTTTCGAGTCGAGAAAAAAACATTGAAATATTAGAGTCTTCCACTTTTTAGTTGCGTGATTCAAAAAATTTTTAAACTGAACACGTTACACTTAACCAACATATATTTGAATTACGTGTGTTCACCCTGTTTTAAACAAGACGATTATAAATTTTTCGATTTTTTTGTCGATTCGAAAGTTACAGAACACAGGCAATGTAGTTAGATTAATATCCATGTTCATACACATTTAATAATACATACATGTATACTAAAAATATATGTAAGTTAGGTTTACCGAGAACCACAAAAGTTGTGTGAGTATAAAAGTCTAATTTGCTGATCCATAGTAAGTCCTCAAAGTTACGTTCTTCAGTTCAATATCTTCTAAAATAGTAATGATCTCTACCTGCTTTAATATAACTTTGTAAGTTTTATGTATTTTATTGTCTTCATCGGACTAATTCTCTTTGCTCTTTAAGACTCTTAAAGAAATAAGACTCAAAATATTTAAATCGGTAATATGATAATGCAACGCATGGCCAGAGAAAGTCGAAAGTATCTTTCACCTCATCATTGCACCATCGGAAAGTGTCATTGTTTAATGGAGTTTTATTGCGAGCTGCATTTTGTTAATTGTTTCTTTTAAATGAATAATACGATTTTTAACAACGTTAAAAACCGTATTCCAACATCTATGTTGTAAACCGTTAACGGTACTTAATTATTGTTTGGCACCAAATTTATGCTTGTTATAACCTAGGTGAGAATGTTTGTCATTCCGTTTGTAATTTCCACAATATAATTTTTCGACCCCATAAAGTTTATACATACAGTGAAATTTTATAAATTTTAAGAAAAAACTTTGTCTGAACAATTATTTTTAGCAAAGTTAAGCAATTTGTTTGTTGTATTTTTTAAAGAATATCTTATATTTTAATTTTCTACCAAAATAATAAAAATCGTAATATTAATTAACGAGATTTTTGATAAAATGTGAAAGTATTGTTAATTTGTTAGGTCAATAAAGTATTTTGCTTTTTTAGTTTTTTTGTAAATTTTTTTAATATTGCTGTATTATTTTATAAAATTTAACATTTATATTAATCCTATATATTAAAATAACAATTTTTAGATATTTTAGTAGCGGTACGACTAAATTTCGACATTTATTAACCGATTTTATTATCCTATATACCTATAAGAATTTTCTAATATTTGACTTAACGTGAAATCTATTGTTTCTTTGATTTTATTTCTAAAATAATAAGTCATTTTGAATTGGATACATGATATACCAAAAAGTCAATGGAATTGGAACAAGAAAAAATGTTTAGTGGGGTATAAAACTAACAAAATAATCTGGGTCGTTGGTCATTTTGTATTGATAAACAAAAACTACATTACGGAAACCCCACCTATTTGGGGAGTACTGTGTGAATTTTATTTAGAATTGTATAATATTTATTCTTATTCAATAAAGCTAACACTAAGTAGCATCCTAGCCACTCTAAGTATGGGGACATCACCGTATGCCACTATAGAACTATTACATGCTAAAATCTTTTATTTTATGAATAAAATACAGTAGGTAGGTAGGTATAGTAGTGATGATAACCGCCTCTGTTTGTAAATATCTAAATTAAGTATTTTTCCTGTACCACACGACAGTTCACTTTATATTAGTTCAAAGCAACCTAAGGTCTGTTTAGAGGTCTAAATTTAAACATAGTGTTCTTCCTACTTCGTATATGGACTTTGGAGAAGATAAATGAGGATTTTAATGGGTTTCCTTGGATACAAGCCTCTCCCCTTTGGTAGTTAAAGATTTTATAAGACCACTTAGTGCATTTTTTTCTAATAATTCTTTGGGTCATTTCATCAATTACTCTATTTTATATTCTTTAATGATATTGATTAAACATCTCATAATTGTATTTCACTTGTTCTAAAAATCTAAAGAATTTTTTTATTGGAATTTTATTTTTATTGGTCTTCATCTGTTTCAGTGGTACAAATAAATATTGGAGACAAAATGTAAAAATTCTCTTACAAAAATATGCATATTTGTGAATGGTATGGATTAAGGGTGAAGGAAAATGCTAAAATATTCCACTCAAAATTAGACACAAATTCAGGGTGTGTATTACGGTAGTTTTAAAAAATCGATGTCGGATTTCTTTAGAAGGCAGCCCCTTAAAATGTTTCATTTTGTTAAATTTAAAGATGGCCAAGTTTGAGCACGATTGAAAGATGTTAACACGAGCCACTGGGGCCTCAAAGTTTTGAAAATCTCGATTTTTTGGCAGTTCTCTAGAACGGTTTAACATATTTGTCAGTGTAATACATCAAATTGAAGCCGATACTATTTATAATATTTTATATGCAGTACTGCGTATGTAGTACTGAATTCGAGATAATGAAGCCAATGTTCGTAAGAGCGAAGATGGAACCTATTGTGAAAAAACCCATTTTCCTTTATATTATAAACTTTTGGAATGAAAACAATTATGTATTTAAAAAATCAAGTATAATAAATGTCTTTATTTTATTCTTATTTAAATTCATTCAAGTGACTGACATAATATGGTTTTTGTTGCTCGTTGTTGTAATAATTGATTGTAATCTGTTAAGAGCAAGCTTGACTCCTCGCTCTACCATGTCGTTCACAACTTTCAAGTTGTTTACCATCCTTTGCCCCTCTTTGTAGTTGATATTTTGCGTCCAAGTTAGAGGATCTTTATCCAGAAATTCGGTGTAAATTTAAATCTCTTGAACAACAGGTAAGTCTCATTTGTAATTAGGGCTGGGAGACCTTTTTCTAAGAATTTCCGCAATTGTTTTTTAGTTTGGGTCGCATATTTCTGAAGCACTTCTCATTTTCTTCTGCTTGATTTGTTAAGATTTTTGTTGCCATTCGGCTCTTTACGGTGTTTTAGTCTTGTTTTGTTGTTAAACACGCTCTGGGGGCGTTATACCTGGCTTTACAGTAGTCTCAGACGATGAAAGCAAAGTGTTTCTAGGGCCTTTTGTTCTTGGTAAGTCAGCTTAAACTGGTGAAGGAAGAGTTGTATTTTTAGACAGCAAATAGGTTTTGCTATCCACCGGGCATGGTGTACTGGACCTGGAGACCTGAAGCGCACATCTTTTCCGTCAAGATGGCCAAGATATATCAATGCCAACTGTAACAGCTCCTTGTAGCCATCTCTTGGCTGGCATTACATTAGTTTCCTTTGCAGTTCTTTGATATTCTATACTTCTTCTTTGGGCAGTAGTTCCAAAACATTTTCGCCTACATCGAACTTGGATTTATTAATCACCGACAATTTTTGTTGAAGCCTCTTGAATATATCTGATTGAGGTCCCTATTTGTTTCCAAACTTGCAGTCAAAAACCCCTCTCAACAAGACTTCTAAAACGTGGTGTCGGCAAGCTCTCGACCTAACATCTGCTCCAGGAGTTTGCACGCTCCATTAAGTCTCCCAGTATTTGATGCTGTTATATCGAAGCACATAGCCACGACCGAAGGAGAAAAATCTTATGCACATTGTACATATTCATTTATTAATTAATAAAAATATGTATTAAAAAGATACCCAAAATTGGTATCCAATTAACCGAGAAATCGATTATACAGAATGCTCTCGGTCCCGATCATTGTGGAAAATCGAGGTGCCACTGTATTTAATATTTGTTGAAATTAGTAATTAGTTTAGTTTAAAAGGGTTGTATACCAAAGGCATACATCCACTTGGAGACCCAAAGGTCCATTGTGATTCCCTTTAATAAAGAACAAGGAAAAATAAAAAGAAGACAGAAGAAAAGAGAAATATGTGAAAAGAGAGAATTCCCCTTCAAAAAGAACAAAGGAAGAAAGTGGTCATGGAACAGAAATCACTAATTGTCCGTTATCTGAATAACCAAAATATTCCCCCGATGAAGCCCAGAATGTCGCCTAAGTTGCACCCTGCTAAATCTCCAAGTTCATCGTGGAATCTTTTGCCTACCCATTTCAGTCTCAGACTCTGTATTCTGGGACAGTGGCATAGAATATTGCTTACTGTCTCCAGTTCCTCTTCGTCCTCACACAACCTGCAAAAATCCCGTGTGTTACCGACCCTATTACCCCCAAAGGCTCCAATTGCGCGGTGTCCGGTTATTACGCCTACTAAATAATAGCACTCTGGTTGCTTTTGGATTTAACTTCGGCCATAGTGTCCTAGAAATCCTACAATCCAGCCTACTGTGCCAGGATCGGTTGGTGGAGTTTTTGAAATATTCGGAGATTAGCCAATAGTAATAACAAATGGGGGATTT